TATAATATAACTATTTACGCAAGATTCCGCTGACGCAGGAGAATGCAACACATACAGCTGACGCAACATATGCAGCTGACGCAAGAGACGGCAACATTCACAGCTGACGCAAGGAATGCGACACACTGCTGATGCTCTCGGGACAAAAACACCCACGTAGTTGTTTTTGTGTCTGTATGATAACATGCATGTTAAGAAATTTACGCAAGTCTCATCATTCTAACCTTAATCAATCAACTGAAACGGGTGTTTCAGTTGATTGATTTCAGTTTCAGTTTCAGACCCTATAACCAAGGGTCTAGGGGGATAAAAGAGGTATTGGTGGTATGTGTTAGTGATGGGGGCAGGATGGTTCAAGGGGTATAGGTGGTATACAGTGTATTTTAATGGATGTTATGGATGTAATTATAAGGGAAAAGGGCAGACTTATACTATATGAAGGCACAGACAATATGTATGAAGGGAGTTTGCACATAGCTCATGTTCTCATTTCACAAGTTTGATATATCAATAAGTTGGGTTGTGATAGGTTGGCCTGGGTGTATGGGGTGTGTATGTGTATAGGGGTTATAGGTAGGGAAGGGGTAGGCAGGTTCAAGTTCAAGTATGTTTATTGAGACAAGAAAGAAATACATCTCAAAGGGATAGAGTAGCTTAGGCTACTTCTACCCCCCTCCCCCCCTGGTAGGCAGGTGCTTGGGGGTTAAAAGGATTAAAAGATTCAATAGCCTCTCTGAACACCCAAAAACAGTCAACAATAACCAATGTTTTCAGGAGGCTACTGGTTGTGGAGATGATGTATTTTTATCAGCAATCACTGGGACTGGACAGTAGAACAACGGTCTCACTTCTTGCAGGTCGGCGTTCAATCCCCGATGGTCCAAGTGGTTGGGCACCATTCCTTTTCCCCCTCCCTCGCCCAAATTCTTATCTTGACCTTTCCATGTCCTATATAGTCATAATGGCTTGGCGTTTTCCCATTTTGTTCTATTATTACTTTACTCACATGCTGTATGATAATGGCATAGTGCTTTCTCTTCATAATTACCTTACCTTACCTCTATTTCATTTAAATTCTTAATTTTTACCATTCCTCAGTATAGTATCTGGAATCTATTACTGTTAACATAATCTTTAATTGGGGAAAGGAAAATAACTATCAGTATCAGCATTTACTTTTTCAACTTCTCTATAAAATAGTTTTCAAGCTGATTTTTGTATTGTCTAGCAAGGATAACATGAAGGTGTGACATGTGTTTGTGTCTGTGTGTATATAAGAGAGAATGTCTGCCTATGTGTTCAGGGCTGGAGGCCAGATGCTTGGGTCTAGCCTCACCAAACTTAGCAGAGTGAATGGTCTGGAGTACGGGACGGACATAGGCTGGTTGGAGTCAGTCCTATTGGTGCTCTGAAGAGGCACCTCCCCCCCCCCCCAACATAATCAGTGAAAATTCCAAGCCAACTTACAACTTCATTTATCTTGCTAAATACTAGACACCTTCCTAAGATTCATTGAACATACTATATTCAACATGATTAAATGTTAGCTTATCTTATGTAGTTTATTTATTGATGGCGACAGTGTACAGTACATTGAAGATACTGTAGTTACAGTGATGAAGGGAAAGTTATGAAAAGTAGAGGTGAAAGGGTGGAAAGGTAGTGATGGGTAGGGAAGATGAGGGTGAAGGTGGTGGTGATGAGCAAGGAAGGTGGTGTAAGGTAGGATGGGAAGGTCATGAGGGTAAGGAAGATGGCGAAGGGTAGGAAAGGTAATGAAGGGTAAGTTAAGTGGTGAATGGTAGGGAAGGTGGTGTAGAGAGGGAAGGTTGTAGAAGGGAAACCCAGCAGTGCCCTGGTAGTGATGATGGTTATAGAGGTGAAGACAGTAGTTAATGAAGATGGTTACAGTAATGTTGATAGTCCATGTGTAGTGTAGTTTGTGTTACAAGTTGTGTATAGTGAAGATGGTTACAGTGACGATGGTTGTGAGTTAATTAAGATGTTTATAGTGGTGAAAATAGTGTAATGTAAAGATGATTAGTGATGATGGTCATTTGCAGTGAATATTGATACAGTATAATAATGATGGTTGTGTATTAAGAGATGATAAAAGTGATGAATATAGCGAGTAGTAAAGATGCGCAGAGATGAAGCTCGTTCGTAGTAAAGTTGTGGTCATGCAGACAATGAATGTGAATGTAGTATTGCATTTTTTGAGACAAAGACAGAGGAGAGAGGGGGTGGTAGAGGAGGGATGTTAGGGGAAAGGGAAGGATAGGGGGAAGAGAGGGGGGGGGAGGGGGGAATATTCTAATTTACAGGAAATTGAAATATCTATCACCCTACTTTACCTATTATTGCTAATAATCATATTTTATGAGCCATCATTCCATGATGACATTTATCAAAAGCTTTGTAAAGTCCGTGTATATCACATCTGAATTTTACTTGTTGAGTAATTGCAAAATTCAAAATCTTCCTGCTCTTCATCCATGTTGACTTGGGTTATGAAGTTCATTGTTCTCCATGAAATTAGAGATTTGACTATTGATCACTCGTTCAGAAACTTGATTTATGTCATGATGTTAGTGCAACTGGTCTCTAGTTTTTCAGCTAATGCTTTGCACCCTCTCTTATGTACTGGAGCTGTATCTACAAATATATCTATTGCTGGTGCTTCTGGTATATCCCTGTATATCCAAGCTTTTTCCTCCAAACTACACCGATATTCAAACCTCCATGGCCAAGACAGTAACCTATACACAGCAGTCAAACAGTTGCATGGTCATGTGAAATCAAAGGCGACGGCGACGACATTCTTTCCAGCGAGCAGCGATATGGTCTTTGATCCCGGGTCTGAAATATTACCTGTCGTCGGTGGAAGCGAGGGGTAATATCAGGCCTCTGAAGGACTCGTCGAGGAAGCCATCTTGGTCGACTGTCTTCTGTTTCTCGTCAAAGCGATGTTGACACGACTTACGTGGGGTGCACGTTTCGAGTCGTAGCTTCGAACATGGTCACGTCGGCCATAAGTCAAATATTGCTTTAACATACCTAAATTTACCTGAATTTATCTGAGGGTCACTAATACTAGTGGCCCTGATGAGGACAGGAAGCCGGTGGCTTGTCAAAGGCCCCCCATTTGCCCTGATGATCTTTTCCAGCTCTATTTTAAAACCCAGCAGAGTTTTAGCGCTTGCGGCCTCGGCGGGTAGGCGGTTCCATTTTTTTTCCCCAGGAGCAGAGTTGACGAGTGTGCCGTCAGGTGGTGCCACCTGGTGAGTGATACCCTCACCTGTACCCTGCCTCGTGCCCTCACCTGAGGGCATGAGTGTTACAAGTGTACAACCACTTATGAATAAAGTTTTTGGTTTTATTTTTTGTAATTTAAACTATGTGAAGAAGAGCTGGGACACATTCTCCATCACTATATCTGTGACTGCTCTGTTAGCTGTCACTTCAGACCAAATGGTAATTTGAGCGCTGTAATTAATTCATACTCTCGCGAATTTTGGAAGATATTCTTATGCTTTACCAAGAGTTTACTAGTACGGACTAGTATATTAGACTAGCATCTTATGTTTCTTCTCATCCCGTGTATAATAATAATTACCATGTATAGCAATAATAACCATGCATAATAATAATAATAATAATAATAATAATAATAATAATAATAATAATAATAATACTAATACTAATAATAATAATAATAATAATTAGCATGTATAATAAGGTAGGTAGTTATCAAGGGAAAGCGCCAAGCCATCCTGACTATATAGCACTGGAAGTTACGGGCTCACCATAGCCCATGCTACTTGGAACTTGTTCCGAGTAGCTGAATCTATAACAACAACAACTTGGAAAGGGTCAGGATAAGGAATTGGGATGGGACGGGGGAATGGTGCCCAACCACTTGGACGGTTGGGGATTGAACGCAGACCTGCATGAAGCGAGACCGTCCAGTCAAAGTGGCTGGGCATGTATAATACTAATTCATTGTGTTGTGGGACAGAGAGCCAGTGTATATATACATGTTAGGCTTATATCGAGGTCTCTCTTAAGACCCTCCCAAGGATGCAACACCACAACAGTTGACTAACTCTCGGGTACCTATTTACTGCTGGGTGAACAGACGCATTAGGTGACAGGAAACGTCCCCAGCCATTTCTGTCCTGCTTGGGCTGATCTTGGCAGTTCCCGTGGCGCAGTGGTAAGACACTCGACCGGCACATCGCGAGCACTTTGGCCTCGGTTCGTATCCTGGCAGCCCGCCAAACACACACCGAAACTACGACGTTGATACAACGTTCGAACAAGTTTTAACACTTCCTAACCAGTTATAACAAAAAATATAGCAAGTTGTAACAACGTTCTAATACGTCATAAACACGTTAAGCCAAGATGTAACAACTTTATTACATGTTGTAACAAGCGGAAAATAGAGACAGTTTCGGTTTGTGTTTCCAGGGAGGGGAGGATTGACTAGGCGCTAATCCTTAACTGTAGCTTCTGTTCACCCAGCATGATTTGGCGGGGTCATATTCCAGGGAAAATTAGGATTAAGGACTTGCCCAAGACGCTATGCGTGCTAGTGGCTGTACAAGAATGTACGAACTCTTGTATATATAAATAAATAAAAAAATAAAACGCCTCTAATTCCTGAGAGATGGTGGATAAATAGATAAACTCATGGCTAGCTCTTGATCTATACTCTGTAATCCATCATATAGGAGAGGGTAGCAGCAGCATTGCTGTGTCTACCTCAGTTTGTTAATAATAAAACAAAATTGATTGAAGGTTGAACTAAAACATGTGACCGGCCCAAAGTATGCCGGAGAGGTTAAATATTATCCCTCAACAGACGTCTATTACTTACATTTACGCTTCTATTAAGCATTCCTATTGGATTTATAAATAATTAATTAAATTTAATTTGAATTTTAAATTAATTTGAAACTGTTATGTGTAATATATTGTGTGTAAGTATATTAATTCCAACTCATGGGAAGAGAGTTTGGGCCAGCTGGCGCCGGGCTACCAAATGACAACACTGGAGCAGGCGATACTGAGGCGGCGAGGTGAGTGGCGGCCCTTGTAGCCCTCAACCCTCACCCTAGGGTGGGGCTACACACTCACCCTAGGCGGCTACAGCCACACCTTGGTGTGGTACAGCCTCACCGTAGTGTGGCATAGCCACACCCTAGGGTGATATAGCCTCTCCCTAGGGTTCTGCACCATCGCTCTAGGGTGGTATAGCCTCACAGTAATGTGGTACAGCCACACCCTAGGGCGGTACAGCTTTACTATAATGTGCTACAGCCTCACTTGTGTGGTATTGCCTCACTTGAGTGGCATAGCCTCACCTTGGTGTGGTATAAGCCCTTTCTTGGTGTTATAGCCTTACCCTTACATGGAAAAGTTCAATCCTAGTTTGGTACAGCCCCACCCTAGTGTGGTACAGCCCCCACCCTAGTGTGGTACAGCCCCACCCTAGTGTGGTACAGCCCCACCCTAGTGTGGTACAGCCCCACCCTAGTGTGGTACAGCCCCACCCTGGTGTGGTACAGCCCCAATCCTGGTGTGGTATAGCCTCCACCCTGGTGTGGTATAGCCCCCACCCTGGTGTGGTATAGCCCCAATCCTGGTGTGGTATAGCCCCCACCCTGGTGTGGTACAGCCCCCACCCTGGTGTGGTATAGACCCCACCCTGGTGTGGTACAGCCCCCACCCTGGTGTGGTATAGCCCCCACCCTGGTGTGGTATAGCCCCCACCCTGGTGTGGTACTGCCCCCACCCTGGTGTGGTACAGCCCCCACCCTGGTGTGGTACAGCCCCCACCCTGGTGTGGTACAGCCCCCACCCTGGTGTGGTACAGCCCCCACCCTGGTGTGGTACAGCCCCCACCCTGGTGTGGTACAGCCCCCACCCTGGTGTGGTACAGCCCCCACCCTGGTGTGGTACAGCCCCCACCCTGGTGTGGTACAGCCCCCACCCTGGTGTGGTACAGCCCCCACCCTGGTGTGGTACAGCCCCCACCCTGGTGTGGTACAGCCCCCACCCTGGTGTGGTACAGCCCCACCCTGGTGTGGTATAGCCCCAACCCTGGTGTGGTATAGCCCCCACCCTGGTGTGGTACAGCCCCCACCCTGGTGTGGTACAGCCCCCACCCTGGTGTGGTACAGCCCTCACCCTGGTGTGGTACAGCCCCCACCCTAGTGTGGTGCAGCCCCCACCCTAGTGTGGTGCAGCCCCCACCCTAGTGTGGTACAGCCCCACCCTAGTGTGGTACAGCCCCACCCTAGTGTGGTACAGCCCCACCCTAGTGTGGTACAGCCCCCACCCTAGAGTGGTAGTCTCAGTCTCTCGGTTGGTACAGCTTAATCTTAGGGTGGTACAGTGTCACCTTACAGGAGGGTACAAATAGCCTAAGCTACTCTCTTCCTTTGAGATGTCTCTTATTATCTCAGTAAACTTGAACTTGTGTCACTTTATTGTGCTTCTCAGTCAATCAAGTGGTGTTGGCTTTCATTGGAACATTACATTCCACTGGGGGCCATTTTTTTATGCTTCATAATTGTTATTAATGCAACCATATTGCATGTTCCTCTTTACCATTTGGTTTTACTTAAACTGTAGACAGGGGTGGGCTTCCCTGAAGCCAGCTTGAATTTTCTTGTACCTCACTACAGATACTTGCTTAGAAAGATGCAAGCTTCCTCTACAAGCTTTAACCGCTCGAGTTACCTCGCTTCCAGGTGGTGCGAGAGGCTTGTTTTTCCTGCAAGCTTAAGGATGGGAAGATGTTGTCTTTGGAATGTGTGCTTGTGCATATAAATGACTTGCCTGTCATGCTCGTCTCTGTTCCTGGTGCATATTGGGATGCTTGGGGCAAGAAAGCATGTCCTCATGCTTTGCTTGACCAGTTGCACTAACATCACACATAATAAAAGTGTTAGTGATTAGGAATCAAATTTCTAGTTTTATGGAAAATAGTGAGCTACACAATCCAGGAAAACATGGATTTAGAGCAGGCAGATCCTGTCTGTCACAGTTACTCAACCACTATGACAAAATCACAGAAGCTCTAGAAGAAAAGCAAAATGCAGATGTTGTATACGCAGACTTTGCAAAGGCGTTCGACAAATGTGATCACGGAGTGATAGCACACAAAATGAGGTCAATGGGAATAACTGGTAAAGTAGGACGCTGGATACTCAATTTCCTGTCGAACAGAACACAAAGAGTAACAGTTAATCAAATAAAATCGAGCCCAAGCGCAGTTAAAAGCTCTATACCTCAAGGTACAGTCCTTGCACTGCTACTGTTCCTTATTCTCATATCAGATACAGTATAGATAAAAATACAAGTCATAGCTTTGTGTCATCCTTTGCAGATGACACAAAAATCAGCATGAAAATTACCTCTGCTGAAGACATTGAAAAATTACAAGCAGATATCAACAAAGTTTTTGATTGGGCAGCAGAAAATAACATGATGTTTAACAATGATAAATTTCAGGTACCTGTACTCAGGTACGGCAAAAATGAGGATCTGAAACATAATACAGGGTACAAAACACAATCGAATCTGCCCATAGTAGGAAAACAGCATGTCAAGGATTTGGGAATAATGATGTCCGACGCTCTAACGTTTAGGGAGCATAACCAAGCAAATATTGCGTCAGCCAGACAAATGATAGGATGGATTACGAGAACTTTCAAATCCAGAGATCCCATCACAATGGTTGTACTCTTCAAGTCACTTGTGTTGTCCTGTCTCGAGTACTGCTCAGTACTCACTTTCCCCTTCAGAGCAGGAGAGATTGCTGAAATAGAGGGAATACAGAGGACATATACGACACACATAGACGAGATAAAACACCTAAATTATTGGGATTGTCTCAAAGCTCTCTAAATGTACTCTCTAGAAAGGAGATGAGAGAGATACCAAATAATATACACATGGAAAATACTGGAGGGCCAGGTCCCAAATCTACACAGTAAAATAATAACGTACTGGAATGAACGATATGGAAGAAAATGCAGGATTGAGCCGGTGAAGAGCAGAGGTGTCATAGGCACAATCAGAGAACACTGTATAAACATCAGAGGTTTGCGGTTGTTCAACGTCCTCCCAGCGACTAAAAGAAAAATTGCCGGAACAACCGTGGACATCTTCAAGAGAAAACTGTACTGTTTTCTAAGAGAAGTTCCGGATCAGCCAGGCTGTGGTGGGTATGTGGGCCTGCGGGCCGCTCCAAGCAACAGCCTGGTGGACCAAACTCTCACAAGTCGAGCCTGGCCTCGGGCCGGGCTTGGGGAGTAAAAGAACTCCCAGAACCCCATCAAGCAGGTATCTCACTGAGTGATCTTGGTCGGGATTCAGTGTTTGACTGAAACGCTGTGCGTATTAGTGGCTTTAGGCATTGTATGTATTAGCTCTATCTAGAAATCCAACATTGTTTATAAATCATCTTTTATGTATGTACTTTTACCTAAATAAACATTTTAATTTATTTTATTTACTTTGCTGAGATACTTTCCCTGTGCCTAGCATGACTGTCTATTGGTGTAATGTCTGTGCCACTGATGTCCCTCATCAGCTAATGTAGAATCTGTTTGACTTGTATACATTATTAGCCAGTCATTATGGCTTCCCCATCTGATTCTGTAGCTGATAACTTTTTGCAGTTTCTCAGGATATTTTTGGTCATTCCTGTTGCCTGTCATTCTGGCTGTTGGGTTCAGGGATCCTTTCACCCATGGGTGCATGCCACCTGTTGGTACTCGACTTCTGTTTTGGCCAAGCCACCTTCTCAGGCAACTGCCTTTTGGACTGCGGTCTTTGCTGTACCAGATGTTGAGATACAGGTTCTTGCGGCTGCTGTTAATAGAGTGGTGCCAATGTTAATCCTCTGCTGTTTTACGAGTGTCTGGTTTTAGATACATGTTCCAGGTGGTCAGCATCCTCTACTCCTACTTTTGTTCACTTGGTATGTGTTCCTTGTTGGTTTGCGCTCCTAGGTGGTTTCTTTCTGCAGGGCTGGCGGAGGAAGCATCAGGGATTGACTTCTCTGGGAATGTGATGGAAGTTAGGGGGGCCTCTTATATCCGATTTGATTTCCTTGTCTCTTTGGGTTGGGCCAAGGAAGTCAGCTTCCTGAGGTTCAAGGGTTTCCTTGGCTGTCTGTCTGTTTCTTCTGTTGAGGCTACAAGCTCCAGTGGAAATGTAGGCTTCCTCTCTGGTCCTTCCAGTGGCCGCTCATGGGGAAAATGTTGCCAGATGTAGCACTGATAAATAATACACGATTCTACAGCATAAAACCTCTATTTTTATCTAATTTTAATGAAAGATTTCAAAATTCAGTTAAAAATATATTGAAGATAACATACAACATACTTTTCATTATGACACATTTGTTAGTTAGTATTCTAGTGTACTCGCCTAGTTGTGCTTGCGGGGGGTGTTCAAACCTCTATTTTTATCTAATTTTAATGAAAGATTTCAAAATTCAGTTAAAAATATATTGAAGATAACATACAACATACTTTTCATTATGACACATTTGTTAGTTAGTATTCTAGTGTACTCGCCTAGTTGTGCTTGTGGGGGGTTGAACTTTGGCTCTTTGATCCCGCATCTCAACTGTCAATAAACTGGTGTAGAGATGTGAGGTTGATGGTGTTGTTCACCTGGCAGCGAGTGTCTGGGTGGGACTGCAGCTCGGCAGCTCCTGTGGGCAAGCTGCCACTTTTTTTTTTTTTTTTTTTTTTTTTTTTTTTTTTTTTTTGAGATATATACAAGAGTTGTTACATTCTTGTACAGCCACTAGTACGTGTAGCGTTTCGGGCAGGTCACTGGAGTACAATCCCCTGCCGCAAAGAATCGTTTTTTCATCCAAGTACACATTTTACTGTTGCGTTAAACAGAGGCTACAGTTAAGGAATTGCGCCCAGTAAATCCTCCCCGGCCAGGATACGAACCCATGACAAAGCGCTCGCGGAACGCCAGGCGAGTGTCTTACCACTACACCACGGAGACTGTAAACGGTTCCACGGAAGACCACGGTTCTTCTCCTTTGTAGCATTGTATAGTGTGCAATCACTGCACCTATTTTAATATATCTGAATATATTGTCGTTTGTTATTGACTAATCTAATATAGTGCTGTATAGTACTAGTACTCAACTGTATTGTCTGCTATGAAGTTTTAGGATACTGTATCTTTGATTCCTTGTTTCAATGCAATGAAACTAGACCTAAATCTGATTAGATGTTCTTTTTTCAGATTTTTCCAAAAGGTGACATATAACATTTTAAAGTTTGAGAGATTATGTACAGTATATACATTGCATTACAGTACAGTACTGGAATTATTTAATGAGTTAAATTTTTTATTTCTCCTCTTTTTTTTCAGAAACATGAGACGTTATTGCTGATTGATAAAATGAGTAAAACACTCTTTTTTCTCAATGGACAACCAGTGATTTTAACAAATGATGGGACGGATTCACAAATCCCAACAAATACAGCTCTCGCTGCAGCAGTTGAAGGATCGGGAAGTGTGGAATTGCACGATGATTCAAAAGGTGTCATTAATCCGAGAGAAGGCAGCAAGGATTCCCAAACCTTGGGATCAAGATTGGGAGAATCTGAAAGCATTGGAGACGGTTTAAGATCTAACTTTGTACAGGTCAAAGTGAACGGTAGAGAAGTGCCAGGGTTTATGCTTTCACAAAATAAGGCTGGAAGTGTGCATAAAATAATAGGACAGCCTCTACACCATCAAAAGCTGGAGTATGATTTATTGTTCCCAGATAAAGCTGTTAATATTGATGGACCTGAAAAGGGTAATGAAGTTGAATCGGAAGGATTCTTACATTTTCACGATGCCTCAGTGCAGAGAGCATTGGCTAAAAATTCTAGTTTCGGTGATGGGGAAGAGAGCTGTGGGAGTGATATGTTTGCACTGGCAGCCAATACTGAACTTTTACACACTCAGATAGAGGGCAGTAGTCAGGAAATGGGCTCAGTAGACAGCCTCCAGAATCTTGTTAGACTTCCTATTGCTTCAAACCGTATGCAAGTTGATGCACAAAGTGTAAATGTAACTACAGATCAAGGCCAAGTTTTGCAGGTAAGTGCAGATGACAGTCAGGTTCATCATAGAAATTTGTCTACAATAGTTGCCATCATCCAGGGAGAAGATGGTAGTACCCAAACAATTGAGCTTTCACCAGAAGAGGCTTGTAAGCTGAATCTTCCACAGCTGTTGGCTGGAAATGTCACTGTTGAGCAACAACCAGTTAATTCTCGTCCAGATAAAATTGATGAACTTTCCACAGTCCCAAATCTAGAAAATGACCAGAAGAGCCGGTTTGGAGTGGGTGAACACAGCACTAAAGACTCTGAAGGATACGCTGCATCTGTATTCCCAGGAGAGGATAGAACTGATGGAATCAGTGTGAATAGCTCTTGTGATGTTTCAGCAAATGATGCAGATGTTAGTTTAGGGCCTTTCCTCTTTATCCCTGAGTATAATGATGATGGCAGTATCTCCATCCTCAAGATAAGAGGTTCAGATTCTGATGTTACAGGTAAAGTTTCAGTTGATGAACCCCCAAATCTAAATTCAGTTTTGCTAAATAATTCACAGATTCATCATGTAGCAGAGACTTCTGACAAAACTTTGTTGTCATTTCCACGTCCAGGTCAAAGTGTACAGAAGATAAGTCTGCCTATAAATTCCACTCAGCAAATAAAAAAGTACACCAACATTAAGCCCAAGCACATTGACTGGAAGACTGTTGCTACCAAACCAGCACCTAAAGTTCCTGGAAGTATGTACTTGCGTAATATAGCAAAGAGGACAAAGTTTAGGAATTTAACTTCTTTTTTGGACACAAAACAAATTCATCAGGATTGTGAGGTAATAACGAAGAGTCATGATATAGAAACTGTGATACCTTCCAGCACATTCAGTGCATCAATAGCAGGGTTGTCTAATGCGGCAAGTTCATCAACTCAAACCTTGGTTATGACATCGGCCAATGGATTCACTTTGGGCCCTGGTAATGAGCTGCTCAATCAGTCGTCACTTTTGGCCGAGAGAGAGGTAACAAACCAACTGAGCATAGAAGATATGGCACTTCATCACCCATCCAAAACTGCTTCCATTCTACATTGTGAAACTCCACCCAAGTTACACCAAGGCTCGGTGGTGTCTGGTGATCGAGCACTCACCATTAAAGTTAGTACTGGGCCTATTTGTGTGACCGGCTCAGCAATCCGTACCATGGCTCCATCCACTACATCAGTTCCCTCCATCAAATGTGCAGGTAACTTTAAAATGTGAATTCTTTTGAAAATTAATTATTAAATGGAACATTACTTACTGAGTTACTGTACATCTCATAAACAAAGAGAGACTTTCGAGAGCTGATTTTTTAACTTGTATCAATTCCTCATTGACTCTCATCACTCCTCATTTACCACATGAACAGTCTGGAGCACATTATTTATTTAAGCTACAATTTTAGTACAGTAATTTGTCATTATATATTGGTTTAGAAATTGATTCCTTCCACAGTTTTTTAAAGTTCAGTACTATTTTTAAATTGCTAAACTGTCCCTTGATCAAGTGATTATATTAAATAAAATACTAGTATATATTTATTTGGGTGTGAGCATACCCTGTTGGGGACAGTCAGCCTTCAGTTGGCTACTCAAGGTCCTCCTAGCTGCGGGTGAATATTTTCAGATGGAAACTCATCAGTTACTGACCAGGCCAAACAATGCTTAATTATATTCGAGCAATGCACACCTTATTAATAACATCATGCTGCTTTGATAATTTTTGTAGAGTTGCTCTGTTTTATTACCGCTTGTTGGACTTGTCTGTGTTGTGTCCACCCTCAGATGAAGTATATATATAAGTTAATTAATTTTATTATCTTTCCAGAACCTAGCGAGTCATTGAGTAGCTGTAGTCAGTCTAACTCGGACTCGCCAAGCTTGACATCTATTGTGTATTGTTCATCAGGTGGGGATGAAACTCCATTCACTGTACACCTTCCTGGAGGTGATAATACCAAGCCTCTTGGCTCTAGTGAGAACCCGATACAGCTGGTGCAACAGGTAAATCCCTTATCTTCCCTTATCATGTCAAAGCCTTTAAATTAACCTCAGTTAAATTGTTTCGTAGAAAAATATGTACAGTAATGATGTTCAAAAAAATATTTTACTCTAGGAAAAAAAAAAAAAATGGATTTTACCCTTAAAGTTTATTAAGTGTAAAATATTAATCCGTCCTCTTTACATACGCAGCTGCATGCAGTAGTGTGTGTATGAACCCGTTGGATAAGTGCACACTTTCACTTTTATCAAGTTTCTGCTTTTGTTTTTCTTGTCTATCAAATGAGGTGGGTTGTGACCCCTGACACAGTTCAAAATGATTATGAACATATGAATGAAGGAAACTGCAGAAGGCATATTGGCCTGTATGTGGCAGCTCCAATTTATATCTAACCAAAATGTTCATATACATGTATGTTATGTATATTCACATTTACTGGTTTTACATAATTGTATGTGTCTTGAGCATATTTCTCTTGCCACCACAAGTCTTTAGGCACTAGATTTTTTTTAGATTTAGCCTAGATTTGTGTTTCACCGATTATCTTTCTTGCTTATTATTGCCAGATGCTGATTTATTAGTTCCAAGTTCATTAGTCTATTATTAAAGTAGTAATTTGGTGCTCTCCCTAGTGGGAATACCTTAGTGTTTTCTTAGAAATAATTTTAGTTCACAAATTACAGTATATGTTGTGTATATGTGACATCTGAAAAACTCCACCTGTTAGCAACAAGAATGCTTTAAGTTGGTGCCAAGAAGGTCCCAATTATTACCGAGTCATGTAGCCCTTTGGTAAAATATTTTTACTGATTTTAATGTTTTATGGATGGGAAGACCTGGAATAATATATTGAAAGGCAAATAATGGGCCTAGCTGTACCAGAATTCTAAACATTTGCCTTAATTTCAGGAGCTATTTCTTGTAGGTTCATTTGCAAACACCCTAATATTAAGTCCTCCATTCTAAAAAAAAATATTCTCAATCAATGTTATTGCTCAACCAATGCAATGTTTACAGTGTTAAGTAAAGACATAATTAGAAAGTGATATCCTTAGGACAACTTAAATCCAAGAGTCACAATATTATAATTCAAACACCTGCGACACTGATGAATAATTTAATGTAAACATTTACTCAATTAAATTGGCTGAATAATGCCCCTGTACTTGTCACAATGCTTCCTGTATGTATCACAATGCCACCTGGACATGTCACAATGCCCCTGGATGTGTCCCAGTGCCCCTGGACATGTCCCAATGTCCTCTGGATGTGTCGCAATGCCCATGGATTTGTCACACTGCCCCTGGAGTACTCGCATATCGAATATAATGAGTTTTTAACCAAGTTGGTGCAATTAATGCATTCATTGTTTTTGCATATTATACTTTGAAAAGAGTTTCCTATATACCATTTATATATATACTATATATATATATATTTTTTTTTTAGGGTAACACATTTCAGGCTTTGCAACCAGTTCAAGAGAGACAGCTGGAACAAATTACGGCCTTATTGCAGCAGCGGCGCATCACGGCTCCACCAACCACCCACCATGACCACCATGAGATATATGATCCAAAAACTAATATGAAAATAGTATACAAGGTATTGTATATGCTGAACTTACCATACTTCTCACAATTTTTCTGAAGTGTGTTTTATGTATACTGTATATAGTACAGCTTTTTCACAGCATGGTGATCATGAAGCCATAAATACCTGCTAAGTTATAAAACATATTTTAACCCTTGTGTTGCTAAGGGCTAATTAGCCTTTGTCACCCACAGGTGCATAAAAAAAAATATTCTTCCTGACCTGTTAAGTTGTGTTCCCTGACCACGAGAAAAATATAAAAAAATTTAACACTTTCGCGCTATCTGGACGCGCCGGCGCGTTCGGTTTCGTCTAACGTAAACGCATAGTGGACATAAAGTTATGTCTACTTTTAAAATATTTGTATAAAATTCAATTATTATCCGATTTACTTTGGGTTTGTTTCAAACTGCGCGCTATGAGGCTCTCTTTCTCACCACTAGGCTGCATGGTACAATAAGTTCATGAAAGGTGTGGATAACTTCGATCAAATGGTATTTTGTCCCAAACGGGTTGCAGGTGGGTGACTTTAGCCGTTTATACTGGTAATTCTTCCCCCATATCATGTATTATATGCATATGTCTGTTTAGGGAATTTTATTCCGATCAATATACAACCAAAAATAACTGTGTGCAACAAGTATAATCTTGACAAACATAACAAAAGTAAAAATATTTCGTGTGTGTTTGACGCTCACTGATATGTTCCAGCGTTGTTTTATATTTGTCGCTATTCTAACTTACGCTTTGTTGATATTTTTTTCCTATGGGCACATAGAACATTTTATTGCGAACACATTGACATAAAAATGAATGACATACATAGAAAATTAATGTCATGAGAGTGAAATAAGTATAAACTTTCAAAGCGCCGTGCGTCGTCCCGTCACCGATACGGGTAACAATTTCACCACTTCCCACACTCTTGCGGGCGGGCTGCATCATTATTCTACGCTTATATTCATATCACCGTGTTGGGAATTTCATTGCGAGTCCATTGATACCAAAATTAACGCTGTAGAACAAGTCTGGAGGTGATTACAATCCCAAGAGTAAAAACATTTTGTTGCTGATGGGCGCTCACGGCGAGTCATCTACGTAGTTATTTATTTGGTGCTGGTATCCCTATATGTTTCGTGACTTATTTTACTAATGTTCTTCTAAAGAATTTTATTGCGAACACGTTGGTACCAAAATGAAATACGTAGCATGAGAACTAAGGTCAGAAGAGTAAAAAGAGTATACACATTTTTGTTTTTACGCTTAAGCGATAAAAACGCAGCGCGCACATTCGGTTGGCTGAGTGACCTTTGTGGAGAGCGCCAAAGTGTTAATTGTACTTACCAACGACGTAATTGAGCCAACAATATGGGCGATGACGTCACAACCTGCATGTTCGCTCATGCAAGGTGCGTCCCAGAGGCGTCGCGCGCGGTCTTCAAGCAGCCAGAGTTGCCACGCATTTATTTTTGCGGCATTATTTACAGTGTCTAGACGTATTTTATCACTAATATTATTCACTAATTGTGTTGCATATAATGTTACATCATGGTCAATGGCAATAAATGTTGCATACATCGAGTATACACATGCGCACACAAATGTTTTCCTTTATGCCAATATAATATGTATTCACATTGTTCATTATTATATTTACACACCCATGCATGTACTATTTACAGGTTTTTGCACAATTATTGCACATTTAGAAGTCTTGGAGAGAGTGGTAGTTGTTGAAGCAGTCGACAGCACACACAGGGACTGCACATACTTCACACCATGTTTGTACAAGTTTACATTTCTGATCTCTCCTTTTTGTTGTTTTACAAGCTAAGCAATCACGTTGGCCTATTGCACGCTTTCCAGTTGGTGGCAAATGTTTTAGTCTGTGTGCTTGAAAGGCCTCCATGTGAGCGAGCCTGGGTGTAGCAACATGCTACAACGCTGGGTTCATGATGGGTCTTTGTATGCCAGGAACATCTTTGTCAAACTTTGCTAATAACTGTGTCCCAAGTGTAAAAGCAAACGAACGGAAACTTGGTTTAAGTCCAGTTTTCACCAGATACATATTGTAGCAGTTCAGCATGCTCATGTCAACAAGATGAAAAACAATTTTTTCATCCACTTCAATGTTTTCCACACACACACTCGACATTGCCTACCATCATGTCAGATTTATCAACCAAAGGTATGTTGATATTATAGTCAAGAACACAATCTGGCTTATATACTGGATCTTGCGTTACTCAGTTCACCTTGCCACTGTTCACCATTGTACCATCATGAACGGTTGTCAGCAAGTTCACTTCTCTCTCGTCTTTCCACCTAACTGAGAGTATTTGATCACATTTTCTTAGCTCGCAGTCACCAACTTCAAGTTTATTGTCAAACACTGGCATTTCCCTTCTTCTTGGCTTTACTGTGCCAACCAATCCAGTTCTATTTTCAATCAGGAACCTAGCTAGCAAGGGACTTGTATAGTAGTTATCCATGTACAAAATGTGGCCCTTGTTCATCCATGGTGCCATCATTGACTTCACCACACTACCTGAGAAACCATGTTGGTTGTTTCCGGGAATGTCAACATCGCTAGCAGAATACAGAATCATGTGTAACACGTAACCTGTTTCACAGTCACAAAGAACAAAGAATTTCAATCCAAATCTGTTGCTTTTGGATGAATATACTGCTTGAATGTAACACGTCCTTTGAAAAGCACAAGGGATTCGTCAATCACCAGCTTCTGTGCTGGCACGTAGAAATCTCTGAACTTTCCAATCACTTCATTCATATAGTGCCTGCCTCGCCAAAGTCTATCATCCTCTGTCCTGTCCTCATTACTTGCAAGATGTAGACACCTGAGGAGTATCTGAAACCTGTCTCGGGACATATATTTCCCGAAGAAAGGTGTTGGAATAGTCTGGTGTTTGACACAATGCTTCATCAACATACATATTGCTAAAAATACATATATCTCATCTACAGTTGTGTTTTTACAACACTGCAATCGTGAATATTCTGTTATCTCTTTTTCCAATGAGATGAGCCTGTCCTGTACGGGCTGCCAGAGGCCTGGTCGACGACCGGGCCGCGGGGACACTAAGCCCCGGAAGCACCTCAAGGTAGCCTCAAGGTAGCCGCATGAAAGTTCGTTTGGTGTACAATATATTCCATCAGCGGCTCATCGTAAAATGCTGTAAAAATCCATAAAATGCTATAAATCCATTTCACACATGGATTCACCATTATCCGGGAAAAGGTCTGTAATCCCAACGTCTTTATTGTCAAAGGCAGGAATTAGAGGAATAAAATCGTCACCATCACTCCACACAAGTACACCTGGTGTCCTGCGAGACGCAACAGTGGCACGATGGCGAGGAAGCGTTGCACACCGTGGACCAGAAGCTGAAGTCCGTCTACGCAAAGTACGGCCGCTACGTGAACGTGAGGTGAAAGCATGTGAAGATGAGGGTCTTGGTTCCTCATGTGGTTTCCATGCGGTGGCGCTTGGCTGGGCGAGACGCTGCTGACGCGACAAATTCTCGCCCGTTAAAATCACTGGTACTAGCAACAGGCACGGTAACACTATGCTCTGAATCCACTTCACTAAATCCAGAAAATGAGTCACCTTCCTCTGGCTCATTGCCCAAAATATCCTTATACTCTAAATAATCACAGGAACTGTGTGGTCGTGGGTGGATTGGAGTAGACACTGGGCGAGGTGGCACGGGTGAGTGTGTAGGCCTCGTCATGGGAGGAGGCTGTATCTCATTTTCACTGTCTGTGCTACTATCATCGGTCAATTGTGTATAGTCCTTATCATTGTCAGAGTCATCAAAATCACTTTCCTCACCATCAGAAAATAATTCACTAGCTATTTGCTCTTGGGTAAGTGATTGCGTGGTGTGTGCCCTGGAGGCGTTTGACCGTGCGCTTGCCATGATGACCGCTGGGTAACTGAGGCCTCCCACGCGTTGGTAGCGTGAGCTGGATTTTTTACAAAATGGCGGCTGTTTACTATAGCCCCTGGGCAGCGTATGGAGGCCCACCTACCCCGCTGGCCATTCAGATCTTGTGCGGTACTCCAACACATCATATGACACGATGCGCAATTTATTGCAAGTTACTTAACACGTCATATGACGTGTTGCGCAGTTTAAGGGTTAATTTTTCTTGGCTGTGAAGTAGGATTTTATATAGCCAGTATACTAGTATGTTTGTATAGTGTGAACTTTGTGCCACAGTTTGCAGTTGATGTCATGGCGTGGATTTGGTACAACTGGAGTTGGTGCCACCATGTGAGTTTGGCATTTAAGTGTGAATTTGGAAGTACAGTGTGGATTTGATACAATATGGATTTGGCACAACAGTACTGATCTTGTACCACTGAGTGAACTTGGCAACAATGTAGGTTTAGGACCACAGTGTTTCATTGGAACCTTAATGGTGATTCTGTACTATAGTGTGGATTTTACACCACATTTGGTTTGGTGCGACAGTATGTAGATTTGGCACCTGTGTGTGGATTTGGTGCCACTATGTGAACTTAACACCACTGTGTTAAGTTGTTGGGGCTGACATTCCTGAAGCACATAGGCTACCATTCACACAAAAACTACCAGAAATATATGTAGATTGTGTAAAAACAGCAACGAACACGGAACACAATCCAGGGACTGATAGTTTAGAGAACCAAATTAGCAATGTGGAAGGACATTGTGTCGAGGTATACAAAAACAACAGCAATATTGAAGAGCAAACCGGTAATATGAACTGAGAGCAAAAATGAGAAAGACGAGCAAACATGTACGCGCTAGAAAGGAGATGAGATAACAAATAATATACACGGTGAAAATACTGGAGGGCCAGGTCCCAAATCAACACAGAAAAATAACAACTTACTGGAGTGAACGATATGAAAGAAAATACAAAATAGAACCAGTGAAGTGCAGGGGTGCCATAAGTTTAATCAGAGAACACTGTATAAACATCAGAGGTCCACAGTTGTTTAACATCCTCCCAGTTAGTACAGTATAAGAAATATTGCCAGAACAACCGTGGATATCTAACAGAAAACTAGATAATTTTCTTTCAGAAGTGCCGGACCAATCGGGCTGTGGTATGTAGGCCTGCGGGCCGCTCCAAGCAACAGCCTGTTAGACCAAGCTCTCACAAGTCAAGCCTGGCCTTGGGGAGTAGAACAACTCCCAGAATCCCATCTTGATGTTATCTTGAGATGATTTTGGGGCTTTAGTGTCCCCGCGGCCCAGTCCTCGACCAGGCCTCCATCCCCAGGAAACAGCCCGTGACAGCTGTAAAGGACCTGGGTGTACTCATGTCGGAAGACCTTACCTTTAAAGAACACAATAAAGTAGCCGTCACAACTGCAAGAAAAATGACAGGTTGGATAACAAGAACTTTTCACACTAGAGATGCTATACCGATGATGATACTTTTCAAAACGCTTGTGCTATCTAGAGTGGAGTACTGCTGCACAATGACAGCCCCTTTCAAAGCTGGAGAAATTGCTGACCTAGAGAGCGTGCAGAGATCCTTTACTGCTAGAATCCACTCAGTAAAACATCTAAATTACTGGGACCGACTAAAGAGCCTAAATCTGTACTCCCTTGAGCGCAGGCGGGAGAGATACATAATAATTTACACGTGGAAAATAATTGAGGGGCTGGTCCCAAACCTGCACACAGAAATAACACCACATGAGACCAGAAGACATGGCAGGATGTGCAGAATACCCCGTTGAAAAGCAGAGGTGCAACAGGTACTCTGAGAGAGAACTCTATCAACATCAGAGGCCCGAGACTGTTCAACACGCTTCCACTACACATAAGGGGCATAACTGGCAAACCCTTCACAGTGTTCAAGAGAGAACTGGATAAGCACCTCCAAAGGATACCTGATCAACCAGGCTGTGACTCATACGTCAGGCTGCGAGCAGCCGCGTCTAACAGCCTGGTTGATCAGTCCAGCAACCAGGAGGCCTGGTCGACGACCGGGCCGCGGGGACACTAAGCCCCGGAAGCACCTCAAGGTAGCCTCAAGGTAGCTGACTAACACCCAGGTACCTATTTTACTGCTAGGTAACAGGGGCATAGGGTGAAAGAAACTCTGCCCATTGTTTCTCACCGGCGCCCGGGATCAAACCCGGGACCACAGGATCTCAAGCCCAGTGTGCTTTCCGCTCGGCCGACCGGCTCCTATCAAGCAAGTATCCATCCCATCAAGCAAGTATCAAGCTGTTACGGCCACAATGGGACGCAACCGGGTTCTTTTCAGGTGGTATGAAAGTTCTGGTATCCGGCCCCAAGCTAGTAGTGGCTTTCAAGGGGTGAGCTCAGTAATGCAAGTAAAACTAAAAAGAGGGACAGTACATTAAATACACCAGTTCGTCACTTTAACCATATATAATTATTCTTCCCATCACCATATACAATGGGGCCTCGACTTACGATGCTAATCCATTCCCAGAGACGGATCGTAAGTTGGAATATTGTAAGTCGAAGCGATTTTTCCCATAAGAAATAAAGAGAATTGAATTAATCCGTTCCCCACCCTCCAAAATATTAACATACAAATACATTTTATACTGAATACAATGTTTTTTCCCTAACTACAATACAGTACCAAAGTGTCTCTTACCTTTATGGAGGGCTCTTGATGGCGTATGGAAGATGGTGATGAGGGGGGAGGAAGGGAGTTGTTCCTGTTTGGAAGGGGAGTCCCCTTTCATTAACACATCAGGCAGTGATGTTTTCTCTGGGGTACTCTCTCTCCTATGTTTTGCCTGAATACCACTAGGACCTGGTTGTGGTTCAGTGCTTGTTTGTCTCACTACAAATTTGTCAAGAGACATTTGTTTTTCCCTCTATTTTAACATTTGCCTGTAATGATGCATCACAGTGACATTGAATAGGTTAAGGCAACGACCTACTGCAGCTTGATTTGGGTGACTCGTTTCAGAAAAGGTTTGCAATTCTTCCCATGCTGCACACATTTTCCTAATTGTTGAGGAAGAGACATTCTGTACTCTTGTTTCTGCTCTATGGTCATTCTTACATGGGTTTTCATATGTTGAGCCTTACCACTGACTTTCCTGGGACTCATGGCGTGATATATAATAATTACTTTAATGTTTAAAATGCAAAAAATCACCACAAAAGCGGAATTTCTTATAGGCGCGATCGTCACTAAGCGGGCAGCTGTAGTAAACGAGGCAGGTCGGCCCGTGACTGGGAACCACACGCTTGGTCGACCCGAACGTGTACCAATAAATATCGGAAGTCGACGACATCATCGGATGTCGAGTTGCATTTTTCTATGAAATTTACATCGTAACTCGAAATTATCGTAAGTAGGGGCAATCGTATGTCGAGGTGCCACTGTATATATAAAAGTCTTAAAAGGAAGTATTGCTATACTATGTACATCATCGTCTCTCTCAGAAGACACTGAACACTCGGTGAATCTCAATCCGTGCAGTCTTGTACCGTGTTTCCTTATCCGTGGTACTACCCTCAGCAGGCACCAGGAAACAACGATGAGTCTACCCTGGCCACGGGCCAGCCAAACCACAATTCCACTAGGTGCCTCTTCGTGAAGGCCCACAACCACAGTCCAGCCTGTTGCTGGCAGGTACCAATCAGCCTCACGCTGTTAGGCCACTTCACAAGCGAATACTAGGGTTGCGAGCCCTAGGCAGGAGCTTCGTGTAACTCGCTGGTTACTCTCCTCTTTTGGCACCACAGTCGGTTGTCTCTTCCACCAGCCAGCCCCGGGTACGGTGAATCCCGTCACTGCCACTCCTCAGGCAGACAGTTGAACACACTACAGTTCTCGTCCGGCAGCAGCTCCCTGCTTCTGTAAAGCAGACTGGTGTAGAGACCTTGGCTGCCTTGGGTAGACTGATTTATCTTGTATCACAGCAGCCCTACGATGACTCTGTGAATACAGACACGTCATCAGTACACTGGGATACTACATGGGGACCACTAGGACATATCACTTACTGGCTTAGCCACAAACGTACACCCTTTTGCTCCATAGATGGCGCTCATTGTCTAAGCGCCACCTCACCAGAGATCAGCACCGGCTACCTCTCGAGCCGACTAGGACAGGTATCCAGCGCCTATTGCCGGTATATTCCCGTCATCACTAGATGGCGTTGCCCATGTTGTGGTTTTTTTTCGGGAGATGGCGTTGATGTCACTGCTCCGTGTTCCGACGGTGGACTTGGGTTCGTAACACAAGCAAGCAGTGCCCTAGTGTTCTGATGCAACAGTGTGGGCTTCCTGCCATGTTTTGAACTTGCAATCACTTTGTTGTGCTAGATGACCCATCAGTCACTTAACATGCATTACATCACCTGAAGAAATCTATGAAAGAGGTAAAGAGGACAAGTTGACTAGTTTAGTGGTTAGCAAGGAAGAAATTAGTAAATAAATAGAAAAATGAAAATTCAACAAGTCCCCAGGGCCAGATAAAGTATTTGTATATAATGATAGACATCCCTGTGTATTCTACAATATAAATGTGCAATACTTGGGTACATTTTCCTCCTAGTGTAGCTGTTACCTCAGTGTTAGGAGTGACCAACACTCCATTCCCTTAAGGAAAATGCAATAGGTTGCAATTTTAGAAGAACAGTTCAATTTCTCATTCACTTTCTTTTTCTCTCTCATTTCCTTTTTTTTTTTTCTCTCCATGAGATTCATTTCTGTATATGCCCATGTCAACTCGGTGTGTACAGGTGCAGTTATTATGTTCAAGGTTGTGTTTCCTGAGGACATCCTCCATGGGGACGACGACGACGATGACGAGGGCAAGGACGAGCACCTCACGTGGGAAGGACGACTGGGACTACTGGAGAAGAGGAAAGGGAGAAAATCCAAGGATTGGAGAAAAATGAAATTAATTGAAGAGGAGGAAGTTGATGTGGATACTATATTGGTAGGGCTTTAAGAATTTCCTTTACCAGTATGTTACAGGACTGACTCATACAAGTACAGGTTTCTGCAGTACTTGTTTTAGTCATACCAAGAGAGGCCCCCTTGGTAGACTCCTTTCCCCTCAAGTTAAGCACTGGTCCAGCTAAGCCTAATGACAGGGAATACGTGAGGGGGGGATCATTGGGGCACACGACAGTTCTCATAATGTTGGGGCTTTGGAGTTGTCCAAAATCTGTTTGTAGAAAGCATCCCAAACAAATTTCTAAATGCTAAACATGTCAAGGGGTATATAGAAATAAAAATATTAAGTACAACTGACATTGATGAAGGAAATTAGGTGTTCAAAGTAACGAAGCAATCCTTCATTGTCATGGTGTAAGCACGCTATGATCTCTGATCCCCAAACTTACCTTCATTTCATAGAGAGAGAGAACCCAATTCTGGTTCCAGCTTCTGGTAGACAAGGGTGTATTTCGGAGACCTGATGCCCACCTTTCATGGGCTTAGCTGGACCAGCACTTACCCCAGGGAGCTTCTGAGAGCCACACCAACGAAGAGCATATCGTTACAGTATAGTGAACTTGTGACTTTTGCCGCTTATTCATTTGCAGTTATAATTTTTTTTTCTCTAAAAGTCAGACCTTCAGACATGATTACATCCAGGTTCTCAACTAATCAGCCTTACTTGCAGTGTCTTCAGGCTTTGCTTGTGTTCTTACTCAAGTTGTCTTAGATATATTTGGAGAAGTGGGGTTGACAATAAACAAAGCCATTACATAATTTTATATATTAAGTAATAGCAGGTAGAAAAATGAAGAAGTACAGTTGTGGATTCCAGGGACCCATCAGCGTCTAGATAGAATATAACATAATATGATAATACTTAGGTGTGTGCATTAAGGCTTTTATTCTATTGTAATCCCTTGAGATCGTAGGGAAATTAGGTGTCTACTCCAATCTCTGCTCCTTATACCCCAGTCTGTGCTTCTCTATCAGTGCTTACCTACCAGTGACTATGGAGGCATAAAATCTAGCTCTTTATGCCCCGCCTCCTAGTTTGAACACTATCTAGTTAGACCAATGTAAATAATTGTTGAGTGAAATAAATATTTCATGAGCTCAACGTCTCATCAGGATGAAAATGAAGAAAGAAAGAAACTAATTTCTCGGACACGTTCTGGCCGCATCTCTCGACCACCCCGTCACATGATGAAGGATTTCAAGCATCTCCACCCAATTAATTTTAATGATGACATTAAGGACAAGAATGCCCCTGGTGTTGGTTATTGTGACTACAGCGATCACGAGCAACCTGAACCCGAAGAGAAGCCGCAGCCAGGTGAGTAGTGGTTGCTGTCATTATATTTCTGGATGTGGAATTTGTTATATATATATATATTGTGTTCAGTTGCTAGTATATGATTAATTTTTGAGAATTATGAGAATTCTTATGATAAGCTTTGAAAGTAAATTAACCATTCTACTGCTTCATTTATTTGTGGCTATACCCCATGTGTGGATATTTGTTACAAAATTCTGCTATTGATTTTTCTGGGTCTTGTTGTTTTTGGAAGATGTGAGCTCTCATTTGACAGTCGCCTGTAATCACAAGCATGAGCTTGGAAGATTTTTTTATTTTGTTGTGAAAAGACTTACTGGATGTAATTTCCAGGCTGGATTAGGTATTCTTTAACGACTCCCTCAGCACACAAAGAGACTGCTGTGGTGCTTGAATATTCTTGTTGTATGTGGCCCCTGCTTTACTGCAATATATATTCAATAACACAATGAGAACATGTATGAAGGTACAGTCAAATGATACATCTTGGAAATTAGCTTTTCATATAAGTTTGAATCCTTATTAATATCAATGCACTTTTATTTCAGTTTTAGAGTTACCTGAACGAAAAAAGAGAGAGGTGCCCATTATAACTCGTCTTCGCTATACTTGCTTGACGTGTGGAAAACTCTATATGGGAAAAATTGAAGCCCATTTTAAAAAATTTCCAGACCATCGCCGAGAACGCCCTCTCACTTTAGATGACCTAAAGCAGTCATATTCTGCTATTAAAACATTATCAGATTCTGTCAAGCCCATGGGTGAAGAAGGGAATGAAATAAACAAGTCTGTATTGAGCCCTACGCCTGGTACTCAGGCTTCAGAAACCAGTGGAGAACCTAGTTTACCCATGGAAACTCTTACTACCCAACCCCTGGACACACAAACTGCCTTGCCCACACAGCAGCAAGCAGATGTACACTCCCCGCAATTTGACATTCCATATGAGCTGACTCCTGTTCAAGAGAGTCGAGGCAGAAACCGGCGGACAAAAAGAGGGCGTCGCAGCAGAGGAAGGGGATCGAGGGTTAGATCAGGTGCCAGATCTTCATCAGCAAGAGCCCACATTCCAGCCCCAGGGCCTACTCCCTCACCTTTGAATATGCTGGAAAAGGTGAGCTGTTTTGCTGAGTTACCCTGTTACATTTCTTTGGTAGATTTATACAAATCTGTGTCATGTTTAGGGTTTGGTAGATTTATACAGATCTATGTCATGTTATGTTATAGTTATGTCAACAGTAAGTTGACATAACTATTTTGAAGAATTAGAGGAAAGAAATGTTGTAATTATCATTAGTTAAATAGAACAATTTAATTAAGAAAGAGAGTGAACAAGAGGAGGATTTTATAGATCATATAGTACCCTTTTCCCCAGTAGGCTTATCAAATTTATTAAATATATTAATATTATTATAGTGTAGTTTCTTATATTCACTCTTAACAAGGTTAATCTGTCTTGAAATGTTCTTAAGTCGTAGTTCTTGCCTCACTTAGGAATTTACTTGAAAGATATATCTTGAGAGGGGCACACATCTGCACCTCTCATCTTGAGAGTTGCAAGGGAAGGTGGTGGCTAGTTATGATCCAGTCAGGAAACATGCAAACCTATGTCTCCAGCCAATTTTTGAGTACACTACATTATTGGGCTGTACATCCCAGATTGTTCCGTTTTCTTAACTTTACAATTAACACAACCATCTATATAAACTAAAGAATAATGTGTGTTGGTGCACACCAATATTTTTCATGGATATGGTGTAAACAGTTCATTTGTGTAGGGAAATTCTCAGAACTGTTTCAAAGATGGCTACAACTCTTCTTAACAGCAAAAAGAGGCCTTCAGTATGACAAACACTGCAGTCACGGCAATATGGAAGTCACTACAAACAGTGAAATCAGTCATTACAAACCCAACAAGCAATATAAACACTACCTTCACCACCCTATGCTCATTACTCCAGCCTGTACACATTCCACACCCTGAACTTGTTATACCCTTCTATAGACCAAATGGGAGCCAGTCGGCCGAGCGGACAGCACGCTGGACTTGTGATCCTGTGGTCCTGGGTTCAATCCCAGGCGCCAGCGAGAAACAATGGGCAGAGTTTCTTTCACCCTATGCCCCTATTACCTAGCAGTAAAATAGGTACCTGGGTGTTAGTCAGCTGTCATGGGCTGCTTCCTGAGGGTGGAGGCCTGGTCGAGGACCGGGCCGCCGGGACACTAAAAAGCCCTGAAAGCATCTCAAGATAACCTCAAGATAACCTCTACTCATTAGATCTGTGTTTCACTTGCTGTACTTGTTGTGTCATTCTGTTGGTGTCCTGAGATGTGTCAGCCAAGGGATACTTTTCCTGATCATTCTCGTATAATTCTTCCATATCTTGAGTTAAACTGATTATGACATTGCAGGTAATTTTGTAAGCAAGTGTAATTGACTGTCATCTCTTTGTCTTATGTTAGAAAAAAATTGTCTCACTTTTAGATTCAGTATATTTCCTTGCCTAAGAAAGGAATTGATTTTTGGTAAGCATTTACTTAATTCTGGTTCACTGTGTATACGTATAAATGTTCCTCATTGCTTACTTGGGAACGAAGTAGGTTTGGTGTATGAATAGGAAGAAGTATACAAGCAGGAATACTGTACATTCTTACAGACCTTATATTCATACAGATTCTTAGTGGATACAGCTCTGAAGATATTCAGGAGGCTGTTGGCAGACGTCTGGTTCAAAATTTGACTCCATGGCAACTACTGTGCTTTCAAGCTGTTGGTAAGAAGGCAAATAATGCAGAGTGGTCATGGCAGGACAGGCTTTCTACATTGGAAAGCCTTCTCATAGACTGCAAGGAGGAGTTTCAAAGACAAATGGTACCTCAGCAAGAAGAGTCATATAATACTTGTCACAAGCAGAAACCTTCTAATTCAAATGATATGGAGTGTGGCAAGTTGAATCCAGGAAACGATATGCAGCAGTCATCTGTAAAGTCGGCCACAGGGGATTTTCATCCATTGTTGGACGGTGAAGAGACTGCTAGTAAACATTTCATTGAGAAATGTTCCACAAGTATGGCAAATGTCAAGGTAAGGTATATTTGTGTTGTAACATTATCTAGTTATGGCAAGTTAATACAAAATGCTCCCACATAGTGAAGTTGAGCCGAGGTACTAATTGGGTCATTATATTTAGTGTCACTTTTGTAACTGGTCTGCAAATACAGTACAGTACTGAATAATCTGATGTGGATCACCATTTTGAATAAAGCATAAAATGAACAATGTGTGGCACGAGATGAATTTTTAAGGAACAGTAATGAAAATACATGCCTTCTGTATTGTGACATGCGGTATTAAACTAATAAAATAATACTCTAAACATGAATAGATACAATATTTAAAAAAAAGAATTCTGGGGGGAGCCCCACGGGCTTCCTAGAGCTATAGAACTGATATTAGCTATATTAGTCTGGGACTTCACTCATATGGAGTTGTCATGCCTACCAGAAACCATGAGCCAGAACCTGGTTTCCTCAAGCGCAGGGAGCAATGGCATACGAAATTCCACTCTTTGAGAGTATGCTCATGACTGTCATCGACCGGGGCTGGGAACTCAGAAAGGTAAACGCCCCTAAACAGACCCCAACTGGTAGAAAATTGCAATCGGAGACCAAAACAGAGGCTAAGACCTCCCCTAAGAAAAACAAGGAAACAAGCAAATCATCAGCCTGATGCGCCGCTCATGCCTCGGTTTTGTGCCTTGTGCTCCCCAAGCTGCCCAGGGGCGGTGGGCTTCTTTGTTCTGTGGGGCTCACAGCATGGTGCTGGTGTTTCCAGCGATGTGGCTTTCACTGTGACAGATTCGGCTAGCTCAAGGCTTTGCGTTCTGCCTCCATTCGGACTGCACCAAGGTGGTTCCTCGCCTGAACCACAGAGGGTCTCTTCGGTCCTTAGCTCTTTGGGGCTGGACGCTTCGAGTAGGCCTTCTGCTGTGTTCTCGGGGTTTAGCTCTCTGTGCGGTTCACATCTAGGGCGTCCACCATCCTGGCGGTCGGCCTGTCTCGGTTCTGTCCTCTGTCCACGGACTGGGCAGTCGATGCCGTCTCCTTCAGTTGGCTTTGCCAAATGTTCGGGCACCTGGTGGTGGGCCTCTTCGCGTCGGCGTGATCATGGTGTCTTCCTGTGTAGGTAGTGCCCTTCCCCAACTGCGAGGCTTTTTGGCAGAACTGGTTGTGGTGGGGAAAATTGTACCTCAATTTCCCAGTCCAGTGTAACACGGGGGGGGGGGGGGGTCCTAGTTTATTACACCAGCTGCTCCGGTTCTGGCTCGGCTGGAGTTCTATCGAAAAGCTTTTCCTTTTAGCCCCATTGTGGCTAGCCCAGCTTTGATTTCAGACACTGCATGCTTGTTGTCCAAACCTGGGGCATTTTCCACAGCTCCGCCTCTTCCAGCAGATCGGACCGGTACGATACCTTGGTGGTTCGATCTACTCTTCCGCTCTTCGCGACTTGTATTTCTGACACGTGTGTATTACCGCTTGGTTGGTGATCAGGTGGTTTCTCTTATGATGTCCCACTTGTGGTATTCTTTGCGGCAGCAGCATGAAGTCTCTTGGCGTTCTTTTTGCTATTTCCTTTCTCTTCATAGGTTGTCTTCGGTGTCTGATTGTGTAGATTGTCCTTCTTTCTTGGTTTTTCAGGACCAGCTTCTGATGTTGATTATGATTACTGTCGCCTCTTATCGTTTGGCGCTGGCAGAGCCACTCCAGCTTGCGTTCGGGGTGGATGTCACTTCTGCTCCGTTTTGAAAGCTTTCTCATGGGTTTTTCCACCTCCTCCCTGCTCATGCACTGCCTGTGCTGTCTTGGTCGTTGGACCGGGTGCTCTATTTTCTCTCTTCTCCATGGCTTGTGGTGGCCCTGTAACACCCATGACCCCCCCCCCCCTCCTTAGAGTTCTCACTCAGGGAAGCCTTCTCCAAGAGGTCAGCCCAGATGACCTCCGAATTATCTTGTATGTTGATTAAAAATTCCTGGGTTAGTCTTAGTCAGCATAGTTTCAAGTATGTAATATTTCGTGATACTCTTGTCAAACATTGCAATGGAATTAGACCCCAGATTCTTATATGTAAACATCCATGGATCTCCCCCTTTTGGCCAGGTCAGAGGTCAGTCACACGTAATTAATAACTCCTCTCTTGAAGAGTGTATGGTGAATGTCAAACAAGTTTAATGAAAATTCTTGAGTGTTTGTACACGTGTGGCCGATCTCTTACATTCTTGGTGTAGGTAGCAACAGCAGATCTCCCCCCCCCCCTGTGGGGGTTGTATATAGAGGTCCTGTAGGGACTTAGTAAGAACAGAGTGCGGTACACCGGGATCGAGAGTGGGTCTGTGAAGAACATCTCAGCCAGGGAGAGACAGAGGTCTTAAGGTAATGTGTGTGATCTCTGAGGTTTTGTTCCATGTCCAAATTTCTTAACTTTTTGCCAGTGTTAGAGTAGGATTTATAAGTGGTGATTGACGTAATTTTGGTCTCAATAAACTCATGTTAAATTTCCCGTCTGTGTCAATTGTTGAATCCTCTTAGCCTTTTGGATATAGTGGCTGACAACCGTTTTCATAATTAATGACAGTCATAGAAAGTACTCTCCAAGTCAAGCAATGTTTCTTGCCTCATTGCTTGATATAGTCTCAATGGTCAAAGGCAGATGGTGGCAGCGTATTTAATCCTGTGTTAGCATTTCCTTGTTGGCAGTGTACCTTTTAGTTCCGGTGTAACCATCATATGTCAGCTCATAACAGTGTTACCAAGTGCAACCGATGGGGAGTGTTACTCAGGATAAGTAGTGTTTACATTATTAGTTTAGTATCCATTATAGTGGTGTTATACATTATAGAGCGGTGTTACAGCCCCTTCAGTTCATGTTTGCTTTCCATGGGCTTTGTTTTTGTTGGCTTTGGCCTCTGGGGGGATGGGTTGGTGTGCTTCCTGCTCTCCCCTGACGCAGGGATTTCTACTCTTTCGATCCTGCTGGCCATTGTATTCGTTTGCGGCCGTTTCATTCTGTTCTGGCAAAGGTTGAGATGGCAGGCATCCGGAGGGATCCTGGGTTTTTGCAGCTTGATTGGTCCAGCCGGAGGTGCATCATGTTTTGTGTCTGGTAGCGGCTTTACACTGTTACCTGCACACCTCGGGTTCTGTGTATGGGGATGCACTTTGGGTTAATCCGATGTCCCTTGTTCCCTGTTCTGGGGCTCAGGTCGCAGATCGTCCACATAGTTATAGAGTCTAGCCAGCTTGCGGTCTACCCTCGTGCCCATGATGTTCCAAAGTTTGCGGCTCTTGCTGCTGTGCTTGGGAACATGTCTTGGGCTGGCATTAGGGCACGGGGGTTTTGGAAGTCGTACAGGGTCCTGGCCGTCCGTTATCTTGTGACCATTCCTGACCCTCAGCGGTCTTGTGTGGCGTTGGGCAGTCGCTTGCAACCAGTGGTCTCATCTTCATCATGAAACATGCAGTGCTGCCACCTCCCGGGTGAGTCCCTCTTTTACTTATCTTTGGATAGCTAGCTACCTCCAGGAAGCTGACGGGGCTCCCCCTCAGAAAACCAGCGTTGAATGTAATGAAACCCCATTTTCTGGGCAATTCCCGGAGGCTCCTTGGTACCCTCCCTCCAGTCAGCGGTTTTTCTTCCATTTGCTCAGTCTCCAAACTGGTGGCCAGATGGCCGGCACGAATGATCGGCTTGTCAGGTTGATGACAATTTGCTGTTTCCTTGTTTTTCTTAGAGGGAATTCTTAGCCTCTGTTTTGGACTCCGGTTGCAATTTTCTACCAGTTGGGGTCTGTTTTGGGGTGCTTACCTTTCTGAGTGCCCAACCCCAGTCGATGACAGACATGAATATACTCTCGAAGAGTGGAGTTTTCATAGGTCATTGCTCCCTGGGCCTCTCTGAGAAAACCATGTTCTGCTCATGGTTCCCGGTAGCATGACAACTATACTTAAATTAACCTCCTCCATCCTTTCCAAACCCTTTGGACATCTAAGCAAAAGCATGGCAACTCCATATGACTGAAGCCCTAGACTAATATAGTTAATATCAGTCCTATAACTCTAAGGAGCCTCTGGGACTCGCCTAGAAGATGGTGTTTCATTACATTCAACGCTGGATTTTTTTAAAAGCAGAAACATTAATGAATTAATGACCAAACTACAACTCAGAAGATAGAGAAACGACAATGTTTTGGTCTGTCCTGGACTATTATCAAGTGGTGTGGTCCACACCACTTGATAATGGTCCAGGACGGACTGAAACGTCACTTCTCCATCTTCTGAGTAGTGGTTTGGTCATCATTTCTTCAGCCACATTATTGTGACTCATCATCTGCATTAATGAATTACTTTTTGCTCTCCAGTGCTGTACTTTGTTTAAATATTTATAAATTTACACAAATGGATGATGCCACAAGAATACACATTTAAATAAGGGTATAGATCCCAACTAATTCAACCAATTGGTACATTTATGTTGTACTGTGCTAAGTTGCAAGTGCAGTTGGAAATTTTGCACTAATTTAAAACTAGCTTCAGTAATGGTACCTTTTACCCACAGAGGAACACCCACACAAAACCGAGCACATTAGTCTGTGTTCAACCACAGAGGCACACTAAACAGTAACTCATGTGATTACATCTTGTTGACTTGTGGTTTTATCTATTTCTTATATCTGTTAAAAATATGTTGTAAATAAAAAATGATAAATAGGTAGGTGATAATACTTGCCAAAGATGCCAAAGATAAAGAATAAATTTAAGTATTAAGACAAAATATTAACAGTTGACAAAAAGTATTAGAGCAAACCTTTTCTATTAATCTTTCAATTAAATTTATTTTTCAGGTGTGTGACTATCTTGCCAGTGTCCTTGGAATTACAAGCGGTGTTTACAAACACAGGGAAGAGTTAAACGTTCACTCGCCTCCAATTCCTTGTTCTGTTGATTCTGTTTCAAGGTTAACAAAAGACAGTCTATCAGAGCTAATAAATACTGTTGTAGTTAAACGAGAGTTGGAGGTGGATAATAGTTCTATTGGTGAAACATCGAACAAGAGAAATCGGATAGGTTTACAGGAGAATGAACAAGTTTTGGCTCACAAGTCCAACATTGTACTGAATGCTGATCAGAGAGCACACTGTGATATTACAGGAATTGATATTAGTACATATCCCATCAAAGCTGACACTGATAGTGTGAGCAAAGCACTTGAGGAGGCAACCCATAACTTGGATCTGTCTTCTTATAGCCTCTCTGTACACATGTCTTCTGAGCCTAGTTTAAGCCCTAGCCAGTTACAAACTTCCATATCATCATCATCATCATCATCATCATCATCATCATCATCATCATCATCATCATCATCATCATCAGCATCTGTGTTGACTGCATCAGAAGGGACCACAAGTTTATCTACACTGCTTTCATCGCCGCACTTTAGCATACCCATGAGCAACGAGTGTGTGTCGAGGAGCAGCACCACCTTGACCATGAGCCACGCAGCACCATGTGTCACGCACACGTCAGCAGTCACAAGTGTAACCTCTAGTCTACCTCTTGAAGTTTGCCACTTTTCAAGTCATAACCTTAATTCAGATTCTACTATATCTTCTTGTTTGCCATTGTCAAATATTGACGCTTCCCTCATTCCTACCTCTACAATACCTCAGGTAAATACAATACAACAGATGCCTCTTGGTGACTTAGATATTACAGCAGAGGATCTACCACGGCTGTTGAGTGAAGGAACGGGATTAGTAGTTGGTGGCACTGGTGATGGAGAAGCATGTGATGCACCCAAACTTTTGGACACATCAGGAGACACATCTGACCTAAGTGAAATGCTCTTCAAGCTCCAAGAAGCTACTGTAGGTATTAGTCAAAATCAGGATCCTAACCTAGGTCCACCTGCTTATCAGGAACACAGTATGACATCTTCACAAGTAAATGGTAATAGTAGCCAGTTAATAGCAAACCAGAGTCTTGATGTTCATTCTGGAGTTGCTCTTCCTTCCCGAGGTTATAGCGCCGTAGGGCAAACAAATTCCCATTCTACACCCAATTTGAGCCTAAAATTAGACATATCGCAGCCTAGCAGTGAACCATCTATGCCTATCCTAACGTTTACAGGGGCTTTAGATACTAATTCTGGTTTTAGTAATACATCTTTAAATCAACCAATTAATGGCACTAATAGTGGTGGCAAAGTACAGCATGCTTTGCTTCATCAGGCAGATGATCAACAAGAAAATGTGAGTATTGGCCAGAATGAGACAATTTTAGAGAGTGAGAGGGAAAGGGTCAACATTGGGTTTAGTGTGTCAGGGCTAGGAAGCAATGAGTTTGAGGACCTTCTTAAAAGATAGTATGTGTGAGTGTGACTGTGTTTGCATGTGTAATTACCAAATTGTAGTTGCAGAAAGAGAGCTGTGCTTGTGGTGTCCCATTTTCTCTATACATTTTGTGATTTACCGTTGTCAGGGACAAGACGCCTATTAGACTTATTGAGGTTTCCCTAGACCAACTACTGACCTACCTCAGGATGCATCCCAGAACAGTTGCCTAACTCCCAAGTACCTATTTACGGCTAGGTAAACAAAGGCATCAGGCGAGAGAAAACATGCCCGGACATATTGTCCTGCTGCAAGAATGAACCAGGGACCTTTCTGTTGTGAACCAACTGCACTGGCTGCTGCACTCAAAAGTTCCTCAAATGAGTCTTAAAACAAGCAGTAGTATTATTACATACAACTTTCTCCTAAAGATTGTTTCGTCCCAAAAATACTCAATAACTGAACCCTTTCCAGTCCGTTGCCATCGTGAGGGGGGCTTAGTGGGCGGCTGCTGAAGTGTGATGCTCTTTGGGGGACAGCTTGTCCTCTGTCCTTTTGACGCCTTATGCTTCTGCTGTTGTCTTCTTCAATTTTGCTGGTAGTTTTTTTTCCTCTTCGTCTTGTTTCGTTTTTCTCTCCACCGCTTCTTCTTTCAGAGTGTTCCCTACCTGCCGACTTTTTGTCATTTTTTAATGTTCCTTCTGATGTTTTGTTTTGACGCCGGGTGTGTGGGGAGGTACACACTCACCTGTAGAACTGTGGTACCTGACATTGGCAAGCAAGGGGATGCGTTTATTGTCAGATTTTGCCTTCATTGCTGAGCCCGATCTCGACAGACTGATGGCTCATATGGTGACAATTGCAGGGTGTATATCCACAATGTGGATACACTTCCAGGATGTGTGTAATTACCTAATTGTAGTTACAGGATGAGAGCTACGCTCGTGGTGTCCCGTCTACCCAGCACTCTGTCATATAACGCTTTGAAGCTACTGACGGTCTTGGCCTCCACCACCTTCTCACTTAACTTGTTCCAACCGTCTACCACTCTGATTGCGAAAGTGAATTTTCTTATATTTCTTCGGCATCTTAATTGATTTAAATCTATGACCTCTTGTTCTTGAAGTTCCAGGTCTCAGGAAATCTTCCCCGTCGATATTATCAATTCCTGTTACTATTTTGTATGTAGTGATCATATCACCTCTTTTTTCTTCTGTCTTCTAGTTTTGGCATATTTAATGCCTCTAACCTCTCCTCGTAGCTCTTGCCCTTCAGTTCTGGGAGCCACTTGGTAGTATGTCTTTGCACCTTTTCCAGTTTGTTGATGTGCTTCTTAAGATATGGGCACCACACAACTGCTGCATATCCTAGCTTTGGCCTAACAAAAGTCGTGAACAATTTCTTTAGTATTTCTCCATCCATGTATTTAAAAACAATTCTGAAGTTAGAAAGCGTGGCATAGGCTCCTCGCACAACGTGCGAGGATCCTATGCCACCAGCTACCAGCTTTATGTGGTCCTCGGGTGATAGTTTTCTATCTAGAACCATCCCTAGATCTCTTTCTTTATTAGAATTCTTTAAAGATTTCTCACATAATTTATAGGTTATGTGGTCTATGTTCTCCTGTTCCACATTGCATAACATGGCATTTATTCACATTAAATTCCATTTGCCAAGTGGTTCTCCATATACTTATTTTGTCCAGGTCTTCTTGAAGGGCATGACAATCATCTAAGTTTCTTATCCTTCCTATTATCTTAGCATCATCAGCAAACATGTTCATATAATTCTGTATACCAACTGGTAGATCATTTATTTAGATAGTGAACATCACCGGTGCAAGAACTGAACCCTGTGATACTCCACTTGTGACATTTCTCCAGTCCGATACATTGCCTCTGATTACTGCCCTCATTTTTCTATCAGTCAGAAAATTTTTCATCCATGTTAGAAGCTTACCTGTCACCACTCCAATATTTTCCAGTTTCCAGAACAACCTCTTATGTGGAACTCTGTTGAAAGCCTTTTTTAGGTCCAGGTAGATGCAGTCAACCCAACCATCTCTTTCCTGTAAAATCTCTGTAGCTCGATCATAGAGACTGAGTAAATTCGATTCACAGGATCTTCCAGATCAAAAACCATACTGTCTGTCTGATATTATATCATTTCTCTCCAGGTGTTCTACCCATTTAGTTTTTATTAAATAAATTAAATATTAATAAAAATATTAATTTAAATATTAAATTAATAAAATATATTTAATAAAATAATATTTAATAAAATATTAAATATTAAATGACAAGTGTGCATCTTGCTTCCCGACTGTCCCTTGATAGAATTCTTGGTGAATCGGATACCTTTGATGCTGCTTGCCGTGTACGCTTTTATTCTCGTATTGGCATCCGTAGTGATATTTAGCGCCTTTTGAATATCCCGCACATTTGACGGTGCTACATAGCCTTCCCAGCTTGTTGCCTCCTTCTGATAATTATTTACTCTATTACTGAAGATCAAGAACTTTGATATTCTTTGTAATTCATCATCATCAATTATCTCCAATCATATTATTTTATGTGTGTTGATCATGACCACACAGATTCTTCTGTCTTACAGTTTAGGAAGCTGTAGGAAATCTTTGTATAAGTTAACTGTTTTGAGTTTCAAGATATATTTTGTTGCATTTGATGTCTTGCTTTTATGTGTGCACCACACCACTGCTGCCAACATTATTCTGCCTCTTGTCTGCAGAAAAGTAATAACAGGTTTCATCATTTCACCGTCCATGTACAGTACTTTAATGCTATCTGAAAGTTAGCTAGAATTGTGTAAGCCTCATGCACTTTGCCATTTATAGATCATGTGTATTTCTTGTAGCAGTCACTCTAAGGTGTCTTTTTCTTGTCTGATTTCATTAGAATAATGTTCCATTAACTAGGTAACATGGGACTAATGTCCACTCCTTCCCTCCTACAGTGCATGGCATTTTTTACATAAACTAGGCCATTGTTCGTCCCCATCATTTTGAAGTATGCTGCAATCTCTTAAATTTTTGATTTGCTTAAGTACTTTTGCAGACAAGTTTCTTTTGATAATTACTTACATGAGTACTTTAACATAATTTGCAAACTTATTCATGAAATTCAGTATTCCATTTGGCGGGTCATTGATTTAGATAAATATCATTGTTTGAGTTAGATCCTTGTGAATCCCTGCCCCCCCCCTCCCTCAATTATTTCTCTCCAGTTTCATAATCTGCCTGTGACTATTGCCTTCAACTTTCAGTCTGCTAAAGGGTCCTTCATCCAATCCAGAAGTCTCCCTTACACAATTTCAAGGTGTTCCAGCTTCCAAAAAGTGTCTTTTTGTATGGAACTTTGCCAAAATTTGTTTTTGAAACTAAAGGTATATTTGATCTGTGCATCCACCTCCCTCTTTCTTGGATTATTTCAGGCATACCTGGTTTGATACATATGACTCCTGGCCTGAACCCAAAATGCGTATTGTTAGCATGGGATTTTATTCATGCAGGCCTGTATGGCAGCTGAACTCAGTTGCACATTCTCTCAGTACCCAAGATGACATTCATCCCATCAAACTAGTTCGTTTCTGTTGAGGTCCATGAGCAGATTCTGTACATAATCTCTGGATATGAAAATGTGTTCTAAAGTATGCTGAGGCACGTGTATGAGTGTTGATATCATAAATGCTTGTTGCTTCACAAATACACTTAAGAACATTGCATTGGGTGCTTCTGACATTTCTTCCCTGTCCAAAAATATGTTGTCAACTCCAGCCTATTGGATTAATTCTTTAACTTTTAGTTTGCTTTTAATATACTTCATGAAAAGGTTTGAATCTGACTTACTTTTGTCCATAATCCCATTTTAGAGTTTTGCCACTCTGCTCTTCTTGACCTAATATTTCTGGCTTTGTACTGTTGATATATTTGGGAGGGTTTGTTGTTTACTGTAATGCTTTCAGGGTTTAATATTTTTCTCCATGGACTTTAATATTGGACACATTACTTGGGTACACACTGTACTCACGAGTATCATTTTCATGTCTCGCTATACATTACACTGACACTGGTTCTTTACAACTCACGTTCCCACTCAATATCTCTGAAGTTCCTTTAGTTCCGTATATTTTCCTTTCTTCTAATTCGATTTTAATTCTCTCTTCCTTCTGCTGTAATATCAATCAGTTCTTAACAACACACATGAGAATGTGGTTGCTCTTCCTAACAAAATCCCAATGCTGGATGGATGAAAAAGACGTTTCTTCCTCTCAATGATAGCCTGTACAACACGCTGGTGCAAAAATGCTTCCAGGAATGAATTTCAGAATGTCAATCTACCCCTTTGTTGCTGTCACATATGCTTCCCAAATGATCTGTTTCCAATTAAAATGTTTGAAGTTAAATAATTTTAATTAGGGTAGATATGTGCTCCCCATTTGTTACGAAGCTCTTCCTCTGTCCAGGTGTAATTTACCGGAAGATTGTATGCATTCACGATGAGCATTCTATGCTCTCAAACTCTCCTGCTTACTGTTTGCCACTGCATCCATTTTTCCACAACATGACATTCATGTGATCTTCAAAGAAATTTTTAAATTCTTTAAATTCTATGTCCATTTGATGATGTTTGAACCTTGCAGCTTCCAGGTAAGGCAGCACACTGCCTTACCTGGATAGTGCTTCAAACTCATCCAGGAACTGATGTGTTCACTCTAATGTAAACAAAGATTGCCACTACGTAGTTGCTGGGCCAGTGTTGATTTTTAACCTTGCAGCATTTTATTTAACAATGACCAATCAATTACTGGGACACCACTAACATGCTCCCAGATACCTGCCCACATTGTTAGTTTTGATTTTATCTTTTAACTTTAATCTAATGGCACAAACATCCTGCTCAGTGTGTGTGTGTGTGTTTCTGTCTGTGTCTGTCTGTATGTGTTTCTGATGCCTTTTAGGCAGATTTTTTTTTTTTTTTTTTTAAATTAAGGACTTGGAAATTTTTTAATTGAAATCAAAACTACCTTAGTAAACTAACCTAGTTAAGCCTAATATTGCCTAACACTGCCTATCAGTAAAGTTTGGCCTGTATTTCTTTGCGCGTGCACACACACACACACACACACACACTATATATATATATATATATATATGCAATTGACGATCACAAAACACTGATCATTTTATGCGGAAAATCCACAGAGAAATATGAAATGAGGTGAACGTTTCGGCTTGTTAAAGCCTTTGTCAACACCAGACTGACATGCAGTCAGTCTGGTGTTGACAAAGGCTTTAACAAGCCGAAACGTTCACCTCATTTCATATTTCTCTGTGGATTTTCTGCATATATATATATATATATGTATATATATATATATATATATATATATATATATATATATATATATATATATATATATATATATATATATATACACACATACATACATACATACATACATACATATATATATATTAGTATATTTTGGTAGCAGTCTTTCCTGTAGACATATATTATTAAATATGAGCGAAAAAGTAAGATTAATAATTCAAAGATCAATTCTCCAAAATTCATTTTTATTTCTAGTCTGACGCGACACTTGAGCGCGTTTCGTAAAACTTATACGTAAAACTTAAAACTTATAAAATAAATAAATAAATAAATAAATAAATTAATATATATATATATATATATATATATATATATATATATATATATATATATATATATATATATATTTATTTATTTATTTATTTATTTAATTAATTAATTAATAATAAAATTTCAAAATGTATGTTATACCTAGAAGTCAGTTACCTAAAAATCTAATTTCCAACAATGTTAAATTTGTCCAAAAATTTATCTTGTAAAATATTTTATATTTTTATTTTATTATAGATGATATAGATTATGTACTTTTTAATTTGTGTTGTCATTAACAAATATACAGTATGTATATACAGCACATAGATACATGCCTACACACACAGTACACATGCAGA